GAAGAGCAGCCGGGCGAAGTCTCAGCTCAGATCAGGACGTTCACCTAGAACCGGAAGCTCTCCGCAATTCACCTTTCTTTGTTTTTTCTTGTTTTTATTTTTTAGTGCACTGTTCTTTGTTTGTTGTAGAGCAGCTGAGCGCACCTCGTGGAAAGTGACGGAATGTGGCGTCTGAGATTTGTAAACCCTCTCCAGCAGGTAAAAACAGCCAAAACATTCGCGAATCAGCTCAGTGTGATGTTGGGACATAGGATTACACAAACTGAGTGAATTATTCTTTTACTATAATATCGATTTTCATGACCATAAACCAGCTTTTGACTTCATGAAATCAGCTTTGTTTTGCTTTTCATTTAGCGGCTTGTTTTCATTGGGTGTTGTTGAGGTATAATGTGGATTCTATCGTTTAGATGAGTCTCTTCCTGTTAAGTAGGTGTGCAGTTTGCATATGAACAACTTTGTTGCTGGAGGTGCTCGTGAACCCGGTACCTGGTCCGTCGGGTTCAAGATGCGTGACACATAAGAATAGTAATTTGGCATCTCCTAGTGGTGATATGTGGTTATTGCATCTAAAAACTGACTTACCAAATTGTGCCCCGCCCCAAACATTTTACCAGCCACCACTGCAGTTGTCATGTGTGTGAATGACGTACTGTAGCAAATACGTCAAAGTGTAGTTCAACATCTGCCAAACCGACAGAGTTATTGACATTTTTATGCTCATTTAAATTCCCTTTTGCAGTCATCTTGAATTGGATTGATTTCGTTATTTGTGGATGAACATCTAATCATCACTTTCTGATAGTTTTATTAAAATCTTGCTGACTGATGTCAAAACTAATCTGGGCTCCTTTTAGAAATGTAGTCACAGATACACAGATGCATTTAAATCAGGTACAGCCCTTCCTTCAAACACTCGTGCACACACAAACAAACACACTCACCCACACAAACACAGCCAGGCAAAAGCATTGCTGTCCACCTTTTGTCTTTGCTTGTAGAAACCGGCTGATTATAAAACCAGTATTGATTTCATTAATCCTTTCATGCAAACTTTGATTTTGTGTGTGTAAACTGAACTAAATAAGAAAATTCACTAAATTCTTCAGGATTTGTTATCAAATGTTAGGAAACAAACAGAACCCAGAAGTTCTAAGGTGTAAACCATGGATTTGTCTCTAAAACAAGTAGCTCTGTATGTAAGTGCTTTGATTGTTGTGCCTGTCAGAGGTTGGCACAAATGGCTCCGAGGGCCTCAGTCTCGTACCTGCAAGTAACGTCTCCTTGCGCCTCCGGTTTCAAAATGCTCTTAGAGCTCCTGCAGATCCACTGGTCTTCCAGCCCGGGGTCGATTGAGGTCTGGAAAGCTGGACTGAGACAATGAAGGTGTTATGGCTGTTTATGCTAAGCGCATTATGAGCGTCTCCTTTCACATCCAGCCACAGCAGGGCTCTAAGCTGATTCCTCAGTCTCAATCTAGACACACATAACACACGAAGGCATACACGCCATGCATTGCTGTCCAATAAACACACATCTCCCAACAGCTATACATCACTTTGTACTTAGTTTAGTTTTCTCACACACCACTCTGTGTAGATTATGCAACGTTTGCACCCTCTAGGTTGCAGATTGTCCGAACATCTGGTCACAACACGATTGTGTTCATTTCTCTAAAGAGGTTAGGGCTTCCACAGATAAAAGGGAGTCGGTACGACCAGAACTTAGGTGGTGTTTATGTTCTTTAAGTCAGAACAAGGACATAAGAAAATACTGTGTTAGAAAACAACATGTTCAACCACAGCTTGTGAATGGATGGTTCAAATTCCAGCCGGACTGATTTCTGAAGCTCCTCAAAGCTTCAGATATTTAGAATATTAAGTCAAATAGAAATCAGAAAATATCCAAAAACAGTTTTTTAAAGTAGCGTTCCGGAGCTTTCCTCTTTCAGAGATGATGTATGATTTGTCAGAAATCTGTAAAAATAATTATCTTATCATGTACTGTGATATAATGTATGCAATACATCTTTTTTTTTTTTTGCTAAGCCCACCCCCTGACCTGCAGAGCTCCATGCAATAGGAAACTGAGCGCCAACCAGAACTAACCAGTAGCGGTGGACAATCTCCTAAGTGCTTCAAATTTAAGTAATACCTCGGCTGATGCAGAGCTGATGAACTTTTCAAGGACAAGTAGGTCTTTAAAATATAAAAATATGAAAACACAGCATGACATGAGAAAATTACTTGTAAAACATCGTGTTTTAGCTGTTTGTCGGCTACAGAAGCACATTTATAAACAAGAAAAGTGAAGTCGCCATCTTAAAAAAAACCAAATCAAGAGATTATTTGTGTGATAGTCAGCCACTAGATGGTGCCATCAGACAAGAGAAATACTCTGGAAAGAGACTTTAAGGACCGGTGTATTAATATTAATTTAGGAAAAAGTCCCTTTGTTTATATGGAGGAGGTGAGAATTAAAGCTTGTACTGCAGCCAACCACTAGAGGGCTTTTTCCTTCAACCCGAATTTCTGTGCTATGTTCTTCTGTCTGGATATTTTATACAGGTGAAACTTTAAAAAAAATAGAATATCACGCATATGTCCATTGATTCAGTAATTCAGCTTAGACTGAGAGGCCATCTAAAGGCTCAGGAACCTTCTGCAGGTGTTTTGGATTCATTAGCTGTTTAGAGTGTGACACGGTGAGCCTGGAATATTGAACCTTTTGCACCATATTCTGATTTTTTTTAACTTCATCTTAATATCAGTGTTTACAGGACACACAGAGCTTTGCAGAAGCAATCTTTTGTCTCATGTCCGATGTTACTTAGACTTCAAGATGGACAAACTATGATTATTTGTATTTCCTTCTGTGTCTGATGAGGTCTTAAATAGGTGGCTAAAGGAATACACTCTCTGACTTATATTTTGATGGTACATTTGTCTCCTTTGAATGAATGGTTGTTAAATCTCATATCCAGAACTCACATTTCTTTAGGTACTTACAACTGAGCCACTCCAACTCTCAATGTTTTCTACTCTGCCACACTCCTTCACCCCATCTACATGTGGATCACTGACTTCCTGACAGACAGGAAGCAACAAGTCAGGCTGGGGGAAGAATCTCTCAGACCTGCAGACCATCAGCACTGGTTTCCCTAAGACCTGTTCTCTCCTCTCTGCCCTTCTCCTTGTACACCAACGGCTGCACCTCCAACCACGAATCTGTCAAGCTTATTGACCATCATCACTAGACTCAACCCCCTCTCTCCCATAACCCTCACGTCGCTTCCTGGACACATTACCCAGGACTTCAAGTGAGAGCCCACCATCACCTTCGTAATAAAAAAGACCCAGCAGAGGACGTCCAATACAGTAGATGAGGCAGTTCTACACGGCTATCATCGAGTCCATCCTCACTTTCTTAGCCATCCTATGGCACGCTGGAGCTACCACCAAGGACAAGAAGAGGCTGCAGCATGCTGTACGCTCTGCTGAGGTCACTGGCTGCAAACTCCTCTCCATCAGGGCCTGTCCACCTCCAGAACGTTGGGTGCAGGTCTGATAACAGCTGACCCGTGTCACCCTGGACACAGTCTTTTTGACTCTCTCCCATCTGGTATGAGGCTCAGATCCAGTCAGACCAGAACCTTTCGCCACAAGAAGTTTCTTCCCCTCTGCTGTTGGACTCATGAACGACAATCCTAGGGCTGCCCACTCCAGTCACATGACCCGGTGTTGTGTTTGTACCTGCACTGATCTGCTTGGTGTTTACTTTTTGATGCACTCTCTAAAATTTTTGGGACCACTTGGTTTGGAGTAGCTGAGGTGGATGCTGGACACATGCCAGCAAGACACAAATGCATTTTGTTTATTGGCTAGGAGACTAAATGCTGACCAGGTGGAAATCTCATTCACCAGCACACAGTTATGGGTTAACAAAATTATGTCCCATATGCACCTGGGGAAAAATCTGGCATGCCCTGAAGGGCTCGATTGAAAATGTAATTTTGTATTTTGAAAATGTACCTGATGATTATTTGTGATCGTTTCTTTTGATCTTTGTGTTTTGGAAACCTGTTTTATGTTTGTCTTTTTGAGTTTGATCCAATGTAGCAGGGTGTGTGGGGTTCGTTACTGTCCTGTTGGGAAAAAGTTGAAAAATATTTTTTTAATAAAAAAAAGTTGATTTAGGGGTTACTCGCTCTTTATTACATGCAAACCAATGAGTTACAAAATAATGCACCCCCCTCAGAGTCCTAAGGACCGTAACCTACTAAATCTTATTTGTTTTTGTACCACGTCTTTATTTCTGCTGTGAAGTTAGCGTTTATAACATGGCAGTCAATGGGAACTTGCTTTCTGGAGCCAGCCCCTAGTGGATGGGGCTGTTACTGCAAGTTTCGTCACTTCTGCATTAGCAAGTCGAGCTTGCGTCTTGGTCAAAAATCACCAGGCCAATTATTCTGGGTTTTATTACTTTTTCGTGCCAAATTAACAGGAAATGTGTCTAAAATGTCCCCGATTTCTTTGCTATGATCTTAAACTTCACAGTCAATTAGAAAAGTCTTCACATGCAACAATGGAGGCCAAGAAAATCCTCTGAAAGATCTTAAATCTTCACACCCAAAACCATATGTGGCTTTATGAAATTGTTCTGAACGGTTTGCATACGTGTTTATTAAGCATATAATTACTCTCCTAAGTGCTGAACGTAGTGCAAGAGAGACACAAACTAGCCACAAAACACCTGACAGGGGCAGGATGAAACACAGAGTAGTGTTTAAATAACTGAATTAGTAGGAGAAAAAAAAAAACTTTGCAGAAACGGATCAATCTGAAAATCATACAGAAAAATAAAGCCTTTCAGCTTAATCCATGCCTGTGTTTGCTCTTGTGCGCTCTCGCGGATGTAGGCTAAAATACATGAAAACATGTAAAAGTAACAAATTAAAACTCAATGAGTCGGGTTGAAAACAAATGCTGGAAAGACGTGAGTGATTTGCCATGCTTTATCCATGAACATCGCTCCAGAACAATAAACACAACTGTTACAGAGTCTAAAATCCTCCCTACACGTTTACAGCAGCTACTGCATATAAAAATATTAGACTCTGGATGCATAGGTTCGTCTTAACGCCATCATGTTGTTTTTTCAGAACACAAACATCCTGTCAGATAAACAAAGCTCCCATTCAACCTGGGCACCAAACTGGCTTTCCTCTCCATCTTTTCACACTTCCCGTCTGAGCTGGGAGCATGCAAGGTTCGATCAGCACTGAAACACTCTCCATCATTGCATTGCACTTCAATTCGAGCCTTTTGACACAAACACAACAGGCCTACCTGGTTAAAAACTTTACACAAATGATAAAAAATGCATCAAAAACATAGAAACCATTAAGAGCTTCTGGTATCCATCTGAGCAGTGAGCACTGCTGCTGATTGTAGGACATGTTTAAAGAACGGCACCGTTTAAAATAAGCTTCAAAAACAAAGAAAAGGCAGCAGAAACTTGTGCTGTCTGATCCAACGTGCCCAGATCCAGATGTTTATTTGTGGTCTTGTTAGTGTTTATGTCATCGTGCCAGTACAGTCTGGGAAAGCTTTCCCGGCTAGCCTACAATTAGAAAACACGAAGCTTTAAAAAGGAATAAAATGTAAATTAGACTGGCACTAAATACGAACCCAAACATCGTCTTCATCTAAGACACGGCAACATAAAGTGCAAAACAACAGAAACAACTTTTCCGAGAGGCTCCATGAGAACAAACTAGAGGAACGCTACATTCTGTCTGAAGCAGAGAAGGTTTTACCGACCTTAGCGTTGTTGCTGGCTAGATTCAGGTTTTGGTCTGGCTCCTAATCCGGGTTAAACAAACCGTACCAGCTCACCTTTAAACAGCAGGCCGATGCATCGGAGCAGAAAACATCTGGATTGTGTTGTGAAAAGTTTAACTTTCATCTGACATTAAAGCAAAATGAACAAAGGAGTCGTTTTCCTTTTCCACAGTGTCGGGCTGAAGGGTTTAAAGGGATATTCCAGCTATTCTGAAGTGTTTGTGTGGATGGCTTCCTGAAAGGCCTCTGTTCAGAGAAACAGCTTTTACCTCCTTTAGGACTAATGAAGCAGCGGCCATGCTGCCGTGGCTGATGTTCTATCATTCTGTAATCCACTACATTGTTATTTACATGCATAAACATCAACAGCAGCAGATAAAAGTAGTGTCAGCAGCATCCAGGGGTCAGGTCCTAGTATTCCTACCAACGTAACCTTGTTAGGTCAGAGAAGACTTTCTCGTGAACAACCGGGGCATTCTGGAAACGCTTTAGCTGCTGCTAACGACAGCTGTGGGAGGTAAACAGATGCCTTTCAGAAGCAGGTAAGACATTAGTTATGACTTTAACACAGGAACACACTTCAAAATGTCCAAAATATGCCTTAAAGATGCAGAAACCCTTTTGTTATCACCTCCATCCATGAGGGGATTTAAAGCATTGTTTTAATATATCCGGCCAATAAAAGCACTTTTAGTCCAGATACCCAAATCCTATCTCACCGTAGGATTCAGGCAGATATCCTCCACAAGAAAAGACACTAGTTTATGCCATGAGAAGGTATAAAAGTGTGTACGCTAGTGAGAATATCTGTAGGTGATTGTTAGAAACCCAAGAAGCAGTTTGGTCCACTTCCCTCCAAAAAGTCTTCATCAGTAAAACTAAAGTTAACCCGTCTCTTCCTTAATGTCCACAGCCACAACATGTCCTTGTGAGGAGACTGCAAAGTCCAGCCCATTAGGAAGACAAGCCCATGTCCCCCTCTGCTGACCCACTTGAGCCTTGGCACAAAGTGCGGTGGGAAAGGGAACCAAGGGGGGGGGGTGTTGCACAAAACCGAGGACACCATGCATCAGCGAACACTTGGAACCATTTGGTTACACTAAAGCAGCAGCAGCAGGAGGGCCAAGAGTACAGGAGGACAGAAGCTACAGTGGAGTAGAGAAGTAAATCCCAGCAGGATCACTGGTGCAACACCGAAGCTGAGCAGAGCTGTAACAAGGAACCAGGCGGAGAACTGTGTCCAGCTGCTTTAGCACAGCAGCTACAAAAGCCCGTCAGAACCAGAGAGACCTCCTGGTTTGTGTTAAGCTAGTAGGTGAGGCGGGAGGCCTTCATGTTGTAGCAGGGTCTGTCCGTCAGACCCCCCGACCCGGAGAACAGGGACAGACCCTCGGCTTTCTCCAGCACCACCTCCAGCTCCTGGAAGTCCTGCAGCCGAGCCACGTCCTTGTCCTGGAACCAACACAGAGACCACCTTAAATAAAACTAACATTAGTTTGGAACTAAACAGGACGCTTCCATCAAAGTGAAAAAAGACAAATATGCACAAAAAAGGTGAAAATAAAATATGGTCATTGATGCTTCGTTGTACCAGTTTTACTCCATCTTTCTAACATTTGGTTGTTTCTCGTGTTTTAGGAATTAAAGCAAAACTAAAGAGGTTTGAACTTTAAGCCAGTGCTTTCAAACTGGTTTCAGTGTTTCTTGAGCCAGAAACTTCAGCAACTTCAAACTGGACAGCACTCTGCTGACCAGAAAGAGCACTTCAGCTCTGTGGTTCTGGTAGGAACACTAGTGGGTGGTCTCTAGCTGCTTTAGCAGCTGTTGTGCTAGTGGTTCGTACAAAGGCTAGCAGTTAGCAGTTTCAGTTTGTCAATCACCAATAAAAAGCACAGGAAGAAGATAGTTTGCTTTATTGTTGGCATCATGGTGGAGCCTGGAAGTAAAAGTAAGAGAGAAATGTCTTTGGAGGTGAAACAAAGAGCTAAAACCAGTGTGAACATCGGCATGGCCTACACTAGTTTGAGGGAGCTAAAGGAGGCTATGACATCACAGACTGATGGTGACCTGGCTTTGTTGCTACTGGACACAATATTATTTTTCTCCAACAGTGTGGATCTTTTACCTTTGTGGCTTATTTAGTGTCTGTTAGATCTTATTAGCCTTAGCTTGTGTTCGCATTAGCTCACTGTTAGCGCTAGCTAAAGCAGGCTGCTGCAAAGTTATTCATGACAGTTTTATACTCCTTTCAACCAGTAGGAGGCAGAAGTGGGAAACTTATTAAGTGTTGCTTTAATGTTCAGTTTTAAACTAAAATTTTGACCAAAGACGACACATGACAGACGCATTCCCCAGACCGTTCTCAACAAGGTGTTCGGCAGCTTGCGGATCTTCTCCACATGTTCAGCGCTGATGTCCAGCTCGCGGCAGCAGACTCTCAAGAGGGCGCGGTAGGTGAGCTCCTGACGGTCCAGCTCCACCTCGATGAAGTCGTTCTCTCGGGCGTTTGGGTTCTGGATTCGAACCTTCAGCACCAACTCTAAAGAAACAGAAACAGGGACACCTCTGTCAGACATCGTGTGCGGAATTGGGGAGAGAGCTGGCCTCTGGTTTTAAGTTTGTTGTGAAACTGGATCAACTCTTGTTATTCGACTGTCCTTTTTCAACAGCTGTAATTGCATTACATCGCTGTTAGGGGTGGATGATATCGTCATCGTCTTCCTCTGCTTATCCGGGTCCGGGTCGCGGAGGCAGCATCCCAACTAGGGAGCTCCAGACCGTCCTCTCCCTGGCCTTCTCCACCAGCTCCTCCGGCAGGACCCCAAGGCGTTCCCGGACCAGATTGGAGATGTAAGCGTTAAAGCTACGTGTCTCAAATGTCCCACAGGCACCTTTATTAATTTGACATTTATAATTACACAAAAATAATTTAAATTCTATTTAGAGGTGGCTCATATCCTATAATTCCTAATTTTACTACAGAAAAAACTATCATGTTAAGCTAAATTTGTGATGTGTTTGTATCTTCTACTCAGATGATCCTGCTAGTTTGCCCTCACTGCTCTCCATAGCTGTTTCCTGATTACGTGGGGGCGGGGCATGGCCTGTTTCTCCACACAGACGGGATAAACTAAACTCTGATCGGCAGCCACGGTGCAAAGGCTCGCTCAAACACAAAGTAACATCCCCAAATAATAAAAGCCACAAAGCCAAACGCAAAGTTTAGAGAAAATTGACCCAGAGGTTTCCTGATCGAGCAGATGCATGAGAATACATAACCGCTTAGAGATGGACCAAGCTAGAGGCTAGCGCTATTTGATTATGGTGTGCTTCTTCAACGACGTCTGCATCTTAATGCATCGATTATTAGATTATTTTCCTCAGCTAAACACAAACACACTGCCTAAAACTTGCTCTTATTGGTTCATTGGTATGTCTGACAGCTATGGCCAACAGAGGCAAATGTGTGATGTGTCCAGGAATAACGGCACAAACGGGTGATATAGATCGCAAATATAGACGGTTCTACAATCTCCGAGCTTTGATAAATCGTCATAATCCCTAATCTTACATCATCAGATCGCACAGCCCTAATCTCCATTCATATGAAGAGTCAACCACAATGCAAAAATTCCTGCATAATGAGTTATAGGAGTTAAAAATGTCACAGTAAAACCACCTTGAACGTTGACAGGGAAGGTGCTGGTGAAGAAGAAGGGCTGAAAGGCCGGCATGGGTGCATTGCCCTGGCTGTAGCTCAGCTGATGTGGAATGGACTGCTGCCTGCTCATGGTGGGGTTAGTGCTGGCCACCGGGGCCTGAACCTGGCTGCTGCTACTAGCCAGTCCTGGACATGCTGCAGCCAACGAAGGGGAATTCACGGTACCGTTGTGTGCCACAACATGGGGGTAATCAGCATGACCGATCAGATGAGGCTCCACTGACAGGTCTATAGGCACGGTGCGATTAACAACAGCATGACTGTGAGACGAGGACACACCATTTTGTTCAGAATCGGGAATAAGTTCACTAGCTGGGGGTTGACCGTGGTTAACAGTAGGATTTGGTGGAGTGGAGACACCAGAGACCATACTCTGGGACCTCTGAAGCTCATCTGTTGAGGAAAGGGAAGCTGAATCACTCTGAGTGTCTTCGCTGTATTCTCTAGAGCCGTTCTGTGCATGACTCTGGATGATCTCAGACTTGTTGTCCATCTTGGAATACATGAAGGGCGGGTTGGACAGATAATTTGGGATGATTGGCAACTCAGGCTCCTTGACTTCAGGCACTTCTTCCACCTCAACTGTGAAAATATAGAGCAAAGATGATTGACACCAATGTCTGTTTTATATCTGGAAAAGTCATAAATGATGCAACACTGAGAAGTTAGTAGAGGTGTAATTCACATATCAGTAGGAACTGATAAGAAGAAAATATAAGACAACTGATTAAACAAAAAAGAAGCAGTCATACCTCCTAAGAGTTGCTTAATCTCTGGTTTGGAAGTTAACTGTGAGGCCAGCTCGTCCTTAGCGGTGAGGATTTCTTTATCCGCCCCACAGCTGAGTAAGTAGGACACTATGTGCTTATGGTTCCTCTTACAAGCCCAGTGCAAGCAAGTCCTGTTGGAAAAAGACAAACTTTATTCAACAATGAGCAAAACACAGATTAAAATCTCCAGACATGTCAACAAACTAGTGGCTTATTCAGATAGAGAGTAGTAGTGAGTCTGTGTCCAACACCAATTTAAAGCCACTTCCGGTTTGGAAGAGAAAGACAAAAAGCGCGAAACAGGTTAAAACAAGCTCTGAGCTTAAAGGGATAACGCTGCCCACTTTAATCCCTGTACTGCTACACAACGCTGCCGAAAACAACTCGAATTAGTTTCGGCTTCTTTTAAGCCAGACTTCTGAACGGCAACCCTCACCATCCGTTGATTTCGTTCTGAGAGTTTACATTGACTCCACTCTCCACCAGTGACCGCACTTCGTCGATATCTCCGATGGCTGAGGCTTCTCTCAGGCGCTCCTGTAATTCTTTATCCAAAGTCGTGGACATTTTTGGCAAAGCGACTAGCGTTGTGATATCATATGATTAAATAAATGCCTAGACAACTGGTTAAGTTTGTAATTATCCAAGAATTTCCCCCAAATTGTCCCCGGCTAACCTAACCAGCTGGGCTAGCTTGGTGTTAGCTTGTAACAGCAAACTGCTTCCGCTAATCTGACTCTGAGGGCTTTCGGCCCTTAAACAGCGACTTCTGTCCTCATCATTACTCCTGGTGTTACCGCTCCACCAGCGTTCCTCCGTTTACTCGCTTAATCCTAACAGAGGAGACGGGGCTCCACCAGAGTGCTGTCAAACACCACCACAGCCACCTGGTCGGGGGTGGGGAATGTTAGGATGTGACAACAGAGCGAACGAATGTTAAGAGTTCCCACCCTCATCTTTCTTAAAATAACTTGTTTTCAATTTCCAATTAAAAAAACTTTTATACTGTAAAAATGAGCGCTTTTATTTAACAAGATTAAAAAGTTAAAAAAAAATTGTAATAAAGAATGTATTTAATTAACACACGTGTTGCTTCCATCACGCTGGAAATGGTTGAAAGAAAATGATTCTAACTATTCAAAATAATTGTAACAATGTTTATACTTAATATAGCTATATCAGTAAGGTCTCGCTAATGTGCACCACTTAATTGTATTTATTTCGATCAAATTAATCTAACATGCTGCAGTTCTCAATCATGTCCACAGGAGGGCATTACATTCCGAACGGTTACAAGCATGGACTGGAGCCGGGGTGTTGCAGCAGATAGCCATCTTGGATAGGTCCACATTTTTTCCCCGGTGCTTTTAATTCCGTGAGCGTCCTGTCACAGTGTCTATTGAATCAATAGTATTGATCATGCGCCCTGGCTACTTGGCCAAGGGGATATCCCTTTGGCTGACTGGTTAGCACACATGACTCTCACCTGGGAGTCTGGGGATCAAATCCTGCCCGGGCCCTCGTTTCTCCACCTTGCCACATGAGGATTGTGTTTACTTAACTGAAGAAAACCCATTTTATTACGCTTTTTCACAAAATTAGAGATATAGTATGGCATGGTAATTAAAATATAACTAATCAAACAAAATAAATTAACTAATATATTAAATCCCAACAGGTATGCTAGCAATGTCAATGGAAATTCCACATGATCTGTTTTCAGTAGTGCTCTGGTTGCTGCAGCGTAGGTTGCACAAAACACAGGCATAGTTGCCCAGCTGCATTGGCTCCAGTTTGGTTTGAAGAGTGAGGAAACTACCCAAAATGGCAGTGGTGTTTTAAGTTCGCCAGTGCCCAATCGGGTGTCAATGTATTCTTGTCTAAGATTCCAAGTAGGCCTAATTCAGAATTTTTATGTGAACATGTTTTAGATCAGGGGTGTCAAACTCATTTTAGCTCAGGGGCCACATTGCGAGAAATCTAGTCCCAAGTGGGCCGGACCGGTAAATTAAAAACAACTTCAGATTGTTTTTTTTTTGTTTTAATACAACCAATATAAAACAAGGCTGGAGCCAGAGGACAGTGTATCCAAAATGGTACAAGTGCAACACCTGAAGTGTACTTGAAAATTTGAAAAAAAAAAAAAAAATAATCAATCAATAAAAAATACATTCCTTAGTGATTAAAAGAGCTTACAGATAACATGGCTAGATCAGTTTCGTGCAGCACTTAAAATATATTTGACTCATTTTACTTTACATCTTTTAGCTTTCACCAGCACATCAATATCAGAAGTCACATCCTGAGTGGCAGCCAACTTCAGGATGGGATTCAAGTTCTTGTGTGAGCCTTGAGCGCAGCTTTGTTTTATTTATACTCGTTACAGAGGAAACTTGCTTACAAAGATAAGTTTATTTTCACTCTACATTGTAAAGTATGAAAATAAAGTTTACACAACCATCTCGCGGGCCGGATTGAACCCGCTTGTGGGCCGGATCCGGCCCGCGGGCCGCATATTTGACACCCCTGTTTTAGATTAATGAAAATGAATATGATGATGACATTTTACTTATAGTTTGTAGTTAAACAGTTTAGAAAATTTACCGTTATCATTTGACCATTTACCCACTTCAAACAGAAGCCACTTTAAATTCAGATTCAGAAGGACTTTATCTTATTCCTCAGGAAGATACTTCTGGGAAATTTAGTTTTCCAGCAGTGGGTCATAAACAAGGAACAAGTTCAATAAGTAAACGTATTGAAAAGAACAATTACAAAGTTAATAACAAAACAATACAAAACTACACAGTGAAATAGAAATGTGCATATTAGACAGAAAAGGAAAAAGGAAGAAAATGGAAACATCTGCAGTATCAGAAGGTCTAGATACCATCACAAAGGTTATTACAAATTTATATTGATGCAGTCTAATGCACTTCAAATTTTACATTGATTGTGTGGTTTTGAGAAGTAGTCAATCTCAATTTCATAAATATAATCAGAATCTTCGCAATAGACATAATTACTTTGTGTATTTCATGATTTTTTCATTTGTGGAAAAAGTTGGGACTCATAGCAAAAGCAGCTGACATTCAAAGAAAGTTCCATAATAAGGAAGCTGATTCCATCTGTGTGCAGCATAGTACCTAAAAGCAGCTTGGTTCTGACTCGGGGTTCCACCAGCTGACTGTTTCCATACGGATCTCAGAGCATGTATTTTGGCCCCATGTCATTGAGTGATTTATAAACTAGCAGAAGCACGTTGAAATAGATTATGTAGAACAGGAGTGACCCTCGAGACAGACCTTGTTTGATGATAAAAAGGCAAATAAGTCGCATTAATTAGGTTTGCTGCTGATTTTCCACAGCTCTATAATTACCAGCGACACAGAGCAAAATTTAAAAACGTGGGTACTGTAATAAATCGTGTTTTATCATAGTAGATTTGGGCAGTAGTTTATTTAGTAATTTTGGGCCGTCCTGTGGTCTAAACCAGGGGGTTGTCTGTAAGTGTTGATTACTTTTATGCCATGTTTTCTTTTGACATCCTGATATCCTTCCGCTGTGAGGCGGATGTGCTTCCTGGTCAGCTCTTCGCGGTCCTCCGCCTGTCGGTCTGTGTGCGGGCGTTGTTGCTACGACGGCTGCCATTTTGGTTCGAAGCATTGTAGCGCAGACTTCTTAGGATATCAACAATATTACTCCGAGTCAGGACTACATTCTAATAATTAAAAATGCTTTCTGCCGCCCAGCTACTCGATGAGTTAATGGGCCGGGACAGAAACTTGGCCCCGGATGAGAAACGGGCCAATGTTCGGTGGGACGACGAGAGCGTAAGTTAGCCTTTAAGCTAGCGTTAGCCTGGATGATGGGATCAGCGTTGTACTGTCTAAAATAATTGTATTTAGGATACCGAGGCCATCTGTCTTCGTTTATTTGTTACTATGTTTGGATTAATTGCACAAACTATTGTTAGTGACATTAAATCATGTGAATATTTACAGTTCTGTCTGTACACGCATGTCAGCGGAACTGACGTCCGCCTGCTAACGTCAAAGATAATTGTCTTTCTCTTGACCGCTTCTGATCTATTTGATCGCCATGTTTAGATTGAGTTTTTTCCCCCGTGCCTGTCGTCGAGTGTCCACCTGTTCCTGCTGGAAATATAATCATTAAACGTAATTCAAAGCCCGATCAAGCATGTGGAGACGAGCTAAGTCGGCCAATCTCAGGGGTGTCATGCCGGTGTGTTATCTGTTCAAATGTAACTTTACAATTAAAACTCCTCTCATTATGCAGGTCTGTCGATATTATCTTTGTGGCTTCTGTCCAGCTGAGTTATTCACCAACACCCGCTCAGATTTAGGTGAGTTAACAACATGGAGGATCTGTAAAAAATAAAAGTTTTATCATCTACAATAACACGATACCATTGTTTTCTAGGTCCTTGTGAGAAAATCCATGATGAAAATCTGAGGAAAACGTGAGTTCTTGTTGAAAATCTAGAGGCAGTTCATGTAGCTTGGTGTTTTCCTTTAAACAAAGCTGTTTTTGTCACAGGTATGAGAAAAGCTCCAGGTTTATGAAAGAGGGCTATGAGCGAGACTTCCTGCGGTACCTGCAGTCCCTCCTGGCCGAAGTGGAGCGGCGTATCCGCAGAGGGCACGCTCGCCTGGCTCTGTCCCAGGCCCAGCAGAACTCAGGGGTTTGTGAATTAATTATTCTTAAAACATATTTAATATTGCACTTTTTGGCAAATGTAACACAACGTAAAAACATAAGGGAAGAAACTACATGAATCATTGCTTACAATGCTTGGTTTCAGGGGCCTGCACCGTCAGGAAAGAACGAAGAAAAAGTCAATGTTCTAACAGAGAAGATTGAAGACCTGGTTGTTCAGGTTTGCAGTTGATTTGTTACCATAAGCTTTGGTCAGATTTATGAAATTATTAAATGTTAAATGACCATCTGTACAAAGTTGAGTGTCAAAAGGTTGCAAATATATCTTTAAAAACTGCAGAATCTTTTTTTTTTTTTTTAGTAAAACTGCATTTTTTTTATCTCAGATTGAGGAGCTGGGGTCAGAGGGTCGTGTGGAGGAGGCTCAGGGAATGATGAAGTTGGTGGAGCAGCTGAAGGAAGAGCGGGAGATGCTCAGCTCCACCCCCTCGGTGAGTCGTCCACCGGCAGCTAAAATCAGCCTCTAGACACTCGTCATCGTAGTGATGTTTGTTTACAAACATTAGTTTACCTGATTTAAATGCAGAAACGCTTCATCCAGAAGTAAACGTAATCTGGCTGGTGGGAAACTTCATCCGTACTGTAACATTTTGGCTAGGAACTGTGAATAAAATCAGTTAAAATTGTTGTTTAGTTGGTTATGTGATTAAAGTTTTGCATCGTTTTCATCCAGACCATCGAAAGCTTTGCAGCTCAGGAGAAACAGATGGAAGTGTGTGAGGTTTGTGGGGCTTTCCTCATCGTTGGCGACGCTCAATCCCGAGTGGACGACCACCTGATGGGCAAGCAGCACATGGGCTATGCCAAGATAAAGTCTACCGTGGAGGAGCTGAAGGTAACGGGAAGTTGGCTTAATGTCCACGATTTCTCTCGTTGGTGGAATCGGACTTCTGCTCTGGTTGGTTTCTTTTGCTAACGAGGAGCGACCTTTTGTTTGTTCTCAGGAAAAACTGCGGCGTCGTTCCGAGGACCCCCAAGGGGAAAACCCGGTCCTGAAACGGGACAGAGAAGAGCGCGAGCGAGAGAGGGAGGAAAGGGAGAAAAAGCGCAAAGAGGAGGAAGAGAAGGAGAAGGAACGAGAGAAGGAAAGGGAACGGGAGCGCGAGAGAGAGCGGGAGCGCGAGAGGGAGCGAGACAAGGAGCGGGAGCGAGATCGCGAGAGGGAAAGGAGGGCACGACGAAGTCACTCCAACAGCCGCCACTCCAGCCGAGCGTCGGACAAGAGACGAAGCAGATCTCGTGATCGACGAAGGTCCAGGAGCCGGGACAGGGACAGGGAACGGAAACGCAGCAGGTATCGCAGGAGAGATCAGCTATTCTGTTCAGTCAGCTGAGATGTGCAGAGATGGTCCTCAGGGTCAATATTACAGTACTCTGTAAATAAACACGACCCTAATAGCTACTTCTCCTTTTTGCACCAGGAGCAGAGACAGGGAGAGGAGACGCAGCCGCGAGCGCTCTGACAGGAAACGCCGCTCCCGCAGCCGCGACAGGAGGAGGTCACGCAGCTCTGACCGCAAGTCTCACCGCCACCGCAGCCGCAGCAAGGACAGAGAGCGAGACAGAGGCAAGGAGAAAGACAAAGAGCGGTCGTCTAAAGACAAAGGTAGGAGCCGTTCCGTCCCGTCATCAGGAGTTTGGATCTGTTGTCAGTGCCATGACGTAAATGCGCCATTCTTTCAGACCGTAAAGCATCAGAGGAGAAGAGCGGTTCTAAGAAAGACAGGCACACTGAAAGTGATGCAGCTGCCATCAGAGCTTCATCAGAACCAGAACCGATGCAGACGGAGGCCGCCGCCTCCCCCCCTCTGGTCAATGGCCAACAAGAGCTCCTCCAATCTGAAGGTGACACTCAGTCCAATTAAAACTGATCTGATAGGACCTCAGATCAGGCTCAGGTAAGTGCTGCCTCCTCTTCACTCCCCCTGGCTCTCAACCCACCCTCACACACCCTGACCCCTCCCCTTAACACCCACCCCACCCCTCCCCCTTGCCCTGTTATGTTCAGTTCAATGACTCTGATGTTGTCTGATGTACTACATGCAAACATCTTTATCCTGTTTTTGATTAGTGCATCGTAAGTATGCACTGAAGATGAAGGCCTAGGCCCGATGAGTGAGAAGAAGGTAGAAAAGATTCACTCAAAGCCAAGAGGGAAAGGCCAGTGTAGCCCTGAGGTACCCCTCGTTTTGTCTCGGTTTTTGACCCTTACACATGTTTATGTCACATTGTCAACACAATGACAGCAAAACGTAACTCATCAGTCTAAACTTTCTAGCTGTTTTCATGCCTGCTTTTACCTTATTTTACTGTTTTCAAACAGGAAATGGTAACATTCGATCCAGGGAAGAAGTGTCTCCATGTTTATTTATCTATCGCTCAGATTTATCCCAGTCATGTGTAGAAAGCCGAGAAAACAGATCAACCTTGGATTTAAGGTGTGTGTGGAGAACAGCAGCACTTAATGTAGCCATGGATTTCTGCTCCAGCTTAATGTGCCTGATGATGCCATGCACTGTGTGTGGGGTGGGTGGGGGGTGCAGCACCGGGAACCTGAGGATTGACTAACTGGAGGGTAGGGTTTATCACATGAATTGCAGCTGACTTCTATACCTCACACAGCGTTGGTGTTGTGAGCGAGACCACATGAGAAAAAGGGCAAATTAAAAATCTTGGATACTCTCTGACTGTCAAACTGTGCAGGTACTCACCCCAGGTACTCCTTTCTCTACCCACATCCATTTCTGAATGCTGTTGCCTGTCAGAACAAACCGTTATTCTTTAGATCGAGTATTTGAATCAACAGCTGTGTGTATTTTTTCTAATGGTCATTTTTGCTCTTGTGTTTATGGAGGAGTCGTGTTAGACTTAGACGATGATGTACCCTTTGCCATCAGCTGAAATTGTCACTAACATGTACCTGGTAGCATTGTTTGGCTGTTTAAAGTCACATTTCTGTAGTCTGTAGGGTGTTTCTGTGGTTCTCAGGTTTTTCTTTCACATGGCAAAGGGAATATCACGCAGCCTCGTCTCCACATTTAAACCTGATCTTGTGGAGGGTAATTGTGAATTGCTAAATATTTCAATTCAGAGAGAATAATAGGATAATGTGGCCAATTCACCCAAGATTATAACTATAGTTAACTTTTATGCATTAATGGTGGTTTTTTTTGTCAGACTTCCTCCGTGATTAGGTTGAGGGATGTTTGCTTAGTGAATGTTCTCAGGTGTTGCTACGAGCCCGTGTTGTGGGACCTTTGCTAATATTGCGCATTGTGGCCGTTTTTCTCCACAGAGGAAGCTGGGATGACTTATGGAAGAAGTGGAAGAGAGCACCCGTCTTTACCCTGAACCCGACACACCGCTGCTTAAAAATAAGGTGAACCACAAACGTGTTGTGGCTTATTTAAGAAATGAACCTAAAGTACACGTGTAAATGTGGAGATGAACTATTCATGTTTTTTATGGTCATCTCATGTCGGTTATGAGGATAGCTGTGGTTCATCTGATTTTTATAAGATTGATTGGTCCATCTCTTAGAAAACTTAGTTAAGGTGCAAATAGGTTTTTGTTTTATTTTGAAAATCTTTACACATCCTCTGTGTTTCTTGGCATTTAGAAAAATGGAATAAACTTCAAAAACAGTGCTTGTGATTTGTGTTTGTTAGTCAGGTTGTCTCACTTCCTGACCTTTGAAGAAGTCCGATCAAAGCGTTTGTGCGATTTCAGGGAGTCTCTTCACCCCCACTTAGAGCCCACGATGAATGCTCTTGTCCCAAATCTGTAAAATATTATGATTTATTTTCATTGAAGACTTTTGAACATTTAAGATTTAATTTTGCCTTGCTTTTAATGTTCATGTTATGTTGAATAAAATGTAAAATGGAATTGTTTGCCTGTCTCTTTCTGGTTTATACAGGAAATTGCTGCGGTACTTGGTGCAAAAATAAGAGATTAGCAAGTATAGGAAGTAAGAATAATCATGACTAAATAATATTATGGCATAAGTTTGAAAACATATTCAACAAGCCACGGCAGGCTAAAACCAGGGGTTTTTAACTGATGCCGCGCAGGCGGAACAACTGCACAGCTGATCATTTATTGTCCAGGTCGTATTGTTATATACAGGTGCTGGCCAGTAAATTAGAATATCATCAAAAGGTTGAAAATATTTCAGTAATTCCATTCAAAACGTGAAACTTGTACATTATATTCATGCAATGCACACAGACCAATGTATTTCCAATGTTCATTACATTTAAATTTGATATTCATAAGTGACAACTAATGAAAACTCCAAATTTGGTATCTCAAAAAATTAGAATATTCTGAAAAGGCTGAATATAGAAGACACCTGCTGCCACTCTAATCAGCTGATTTACTCAAAACACCTGCAAAGGCCTTTAAAAGGTCCCTCAGTCTTGCTTTGAAGGCACCACAATCATGGGGAAGACTTCTGACTTAACAGCTGTCCAAAAGACAATCATTGACACCTTGCACAAGGAGGGCAATACACAAAAGGTGATTGCTAAAGAAGCTGGCTGTTCGCAGAGCTCTGTGTCCAAGCACATTAACAGACAGGCGAAGGGACGGAAAAAATGTGGTAGAAAAAAGTGTACAAGCTCTAGGGATAACCGCACCCTGCAGAGAATTGTGACGACAAACCCATTCAAAAATGTGGGGGAGATCCACAAAGAGTGGACTGCAGCTGGAGTCAGCGCTTCAAGAACCACCACGAGGAGACTCATGAAAGACATGGGATTCAGGTGTCGCATTCCGTGTGTCAAGCCACTCTTGAACAAGAAACAGCGCAAGAAGCGTCTCGCCTGGGCCAAGGACAAAAAGGACTGGACTGATGCTGAGTGGTCCAAAGTTATGTTTTCTGATGAAAGCAAGTTCTGCATTTCCTTTGGAAATCAAGGACCCAGAGTCTGGAGGAAGAGCGGAGAAGCACAGAATCCACGTTGCATGAGGTCCAGTGTAAAGTTTCCACCGTCAGTGATGGTGTGGGGTGCCATGTCATCTGCCGGTGTTGGCCCACTCTGTTTCCTGAGGTCCAGGGTCAATGCAGCCGTCTACCAGGAAGTTTTAGAGCACTTCATGCTTCCTGCTGCTGACCAACTTTATGGGGATGCAGACTTCACCTTTCAACAGGACTTGGCACCTGCACACAGTGCCAAAACCACCAGCACCTGGTTCAAGGACCATGGTATCCCTGTCCTTGATTGGCCAGCAAACTCGCCTGACCTTAACCCCATAGAAAATCTATGGGGTATTGTGAAGCGGAGGATGCAATACGCTAGACCCAACAATGCAGAGGAGCTGAAGACGACTATCAGAGCAACCTGGGCTCTCATAACACCTGAGCAGTGCCACAGACTGATCGAGTCCATGCCACGCCGCATTACTGCAGTTATTGAGGCAAAAGGAGCCCCGACTAAGTATTGAGTGCTATACATGCACATTCTTTTCATGTTCATTCTTTTCAGTTGGCCAACATTAGAGAAACAAACATTTTTTCATTGGCCTTTAGAATATTCTAATTTTCTGAGATACCAGATTTGATGTTTTCATTGGTTGTCACCTATAAATATCAAAATTAAACTTAATAAACATCGGAAATACATTGGTCTGTGTGCATTGCATGAATATAATGTACAAGTTTCACGTTTTGAATGGAATTACTGAAATATTTTCAACCTTTTGATGATATTCTAATTTACTGGCCAGCACCTGTAAAGCGGGCACTTAGATTGATGGTGGTTAGATGCCAAACTATACTTCACAGACAGAGCAGATCTTTCAGTTGTAAATTGGTGAGACAGCGGTCAACAGAAATTTCTCCCCAAGTTCACCCCGCCTCCACAATGCAGGCCAGCACAAACAAAACAATATTCCCAAACAGTAGGTGCGCGCTCATATTTATAACCACACCCACGGTGCAACCAATCACCTGAGGTGCACATACCAGCTCATTCACAAAAGGAAAACTACAAAACATGAATGGCTCCTACAAATATAAAGTGAAAGTGTCGTTACTAGAGAAACGTCTACTGTGTACTAATCAGAGCAGATCAGTTCGGGTACAAACAACACCGAGTCATGGGACTGGAACCGAGCGACTGGAATGGTCAGTCGGGTTGTCGTTCATGAGTCCAACGGCAGAGGGCAAGAAACTTCTTAGGCGAGAGGTTCTGGTCTGAATGAATCAGCCTCCTGCCAGATGGGAGAGAGTCCAAATGACTGTCCAGGGTGACACGGATCAGGTGTTATCAGCCAATGACCTCAGAAGAGCGTACAGCATGCGTAGCTCCAGCGTACCACACAGTGACTAATGTAGAACTGTCTCAACTATTGATAGGTGGAATTTCTTCAGCTGCCTCAGGAAGTAAATATTATTTTGTCTTACGTATTTTTATCTTATTTGTAAAAAAAACCAATGGAAGATAATCTTCATGTTGATGCTTTTGACCCTCCACAGCTGGCTGTGAGGTATAAATCGCTCATATTGAAACTAATCTTTACTCAAAATTAAATATGGAGCTTCCAGTGAAGCAGGAGTGAAATCATAACTCAGCATTCTTCCTTTTCTCCATTCTTCTGCTAGCTGGTCCAAAATACGTCTAAAAGCAAATCAATGCCAAATTCAACATTACGCTCCTTAATAGGAAATACTGGGTCAATACGCTATTTGATATTAATATAGCGGTTATGACCGATAACTGATATTTGCCAATACTTTGTGTGTGTGTATATACGCACACATACATTCTCGCACAGTGGCCTAGTGATAAAACGTCTGCCCTGCAGGGAATTGGGGGTTCAGGTCCTGGTTGGGTCATAGCAAAGACTTTAGAAATGGGACCCAATGCCTCCCTGCTTGACTCTAATCTTTAAGGGGTTGGCTCGGGGGGTCAAACCACCAAATCATTCCTGAGCGCAGCCGCAGCTCACCTCTCCCCACTGGGATGGGTCAGATGCACAGATGAATTACACCAGTGTGTGATGATTAATGGGACTTTAAGCTTTTATATATTGTGTACCAAATGGCCATGTTTTTCATCTAAAATGACCAGAAGTTAACTTTTAACTTACAGGCCAAACTTATTCATACATGTCAAGCTGACACAGTGGTGCCAGTATTCTTAACTAATCCTGCGTATGTCATGAGTCCTCAAGGCTGCAAGGCACAGAACTTTTTATCTATCCTCTTTGAATAAAGTCTACCTTCCCCGGCTCTCATAAATGACTAAAACTTTGTATAATCATATTTTGTCGAATGAACAATTTGTTTAAATCCAAAGTGTTTGAATAATGTGTCCTATACTTTACATTAAATGATGAATACTTCTCCTGTAATGATTCATTTCAGATCTTAAAAGACCAGATCAGTAAATGTTGAATTAATAATCTATCAGTATGAACACAATAATATCATATTAGTGTTTAACGTTTTTGTTCCACATAATTGTTATAAAATTTTTACTTCACACTAAAAATAACCTAGTATCCATGGGTGGGAGTGATTTTCTGAAGTCTTTGCTAACACCCTTTAAAACTTGTCAAATTCTGATTTGTCTAAATTTGTCAACAACAGTTACTAAAACTAGAGATCACTTCCTGATCTAGCCAGTTCTTCGCCAGCTTACTCGGTAGGCTGACCGGGTGAGCAAAGCACTTGGGACCATCGTCTCTTTTGACCTCAAGGTCACAGCCGCTCTGCAACGCTTGCGAGTGGTTTCAGACGGAACAACACCTCAGATGTGGAACGTCTAACTTGCAGAACCTGATAGTACCTCATGGCCGGTGATATCTGAACTCAAAGGGAGCGACGACTCTGAGATCCTTTGAGCCATTGTGTCCGGTGAACACCACCCTGGCTGCTGCTTCTCTGGACCCCGAGAGCAACCGTCACACAGGGGGTATCGTGGACTTTGCAAGATGGTATCGGATGGTTTTATGAATAATCTCTTGCTTATTAAACTATACAGTCAAACTGATTTTGTAACCCAGACATAACAAGATCTCTCAGATACTTAACAAGGTTTTGCTACATAAATATCTAGCTTACATTCCATCATTTTGTTGTCTGTTATCTTGTACAACCATCATTTCATTCATAATTTGTTTATGTTTATTTATTTGGCAGTCGGTTTACTGGTCGATCTACGTTCCTACCCTCACCTATGGTCACGAGCTTTGAGTAGTGACTGAAAGAAAGAGATTGTGGATACAAGCGGCCAAAATTAGTTTTCTCCGCAGGGTGTATGGGCTCTCCCTTAGAGATAGTGTGAGAGGCTCGGTCATCCGCGAGGCTCAGAGTAGACGCTCTGCTCCTCCACAGCAAGAGGAGCCAGTTGAGGTGGCTCAACCATCTAGTTAAGATGCCTCCTGGACGCCTCCTTGGTGAGGTTTTCCGGGCACGTCCAACCGGGAGAAGACCTAAAGAAGACCTAGGACACAATGGAGGGACTTTGTCTCTCGGCCAAAGCCAGGGATAGGGAAGTCTGGGCCTCACTGCTTAGACTACTACCCCTGCGACCCAACCCTGGATAAGCGGCCAAAATTGGATGAATGGATGGATAAATATTGTTTTTGTAATTTGGATAAACATAACTTTTACAAATACAATCTTGACACAGAGGTTTTTAATTGTGGGCACCTTTTGCACCTTGGGGAGCCCCTTGTGTCTTTACGGACCTCAGAATGGGAACAACTGCTTTACAGAATTCTTATAATATCAACAGTAGATGTCGAGTTATTTTCTCATTACCCAAACTCGAATAGGCGTGGCACCCAACAGGGGTTGAACATTTTCCTAAACTTAAATTCCCTTAAAGATTTAGTCTAAATAAACTTACATTTCTTTTCTAATTTAATTTTCTAAT